CTTGGAAACACCAACTTTAAAGGAGGTGATGGTAGGAGAGGAGCCATTCAGAGAAAACAGAAGGAAGATCCAGAACCACAGAAGGAACACCGGAGGGATGTGGAGCCCGGCTTAACTCAGTAGAGTGTGCTTGGGGCTGGGACCAATCCAGCAGAGAGGTCCTGAGAGCCTGTTGTATTTAGCAGTTAGATGGCAATTAGGTGCTATTTGAATAGAACGCTCTGGTGACAATGGAGCATAGAGGCTACAGATGTGGACAGCAGGAAGCTAATACTGAGCCTTGCCATGATCCTGAACTGTCTTCGTGAAGTCATCTTTGAATTCAGCTGCTCTTTAGTCATTTATCTCTGTCTCAGTAGGGTGAAATGAAGCAAGCTCAGATAATGTAATATGCCTTGCACAATATAATGAGACTGCCTACCTACAGAGTCAGTGAATGAACTGAAGAACTCCAGAGTCTTCAGAAAGTCCTCACAGCTTAGGGTACCTGGGTGGCTCAGTCGGTTAAGCAGCTGACTTTGGCTCAGGTTGGGATCCCAGGGTCTTGGGATCGAGCCCCACATCGGGCTCCTCATTCAGCAGGGAGTTTGCGTCTTCCTCTCCTTTTGCTCCTCCCCTCTGCTTGTGCTCTGTCTCTCTCTCTCTCTCAAATAAATAAAATCTTTAAAAAAAGGAAAAATAAAAAGTCCTCATGCTTACCACTGCTGACATCATCCTTTGCTTGTCAGCAGATCACAGACTCAGCTAACAGTGTGCTGATGTGGGCCCTCACCTCTCCTTCTTAGGTTGCATATGGTGTCATGGCCCTGGGCTGCACACCTGTCTTCCTATAGAGCATTCAGCCTGCAGACTTATTAGTGTATGATGTACTGCTTGTCTTTTGGGACAAATACTTAGTTTTAATGAAAATCTTACGATTTTTGAAAACAGCTTTATTAAACCCTTTTCCATCACAGGCTGCCCTCAACCAACAGAGTCCAGTCTTGTTTAACTGGCCTGTTCCTTCCTTTAACGGTTCCAGTCCCCTTCCCCAACCCACTTTCCACTGCCTGGCATGACTTTAGCTTTCAGTTCACTCATTTCCTTGATGCCTCTACCCTTGTCTTCCATTGGACTGAGACCTAGAACGCTTTGCTCATCCTCTTTATTGCCTTCATCCAGCCCCCTGCTGCTTTGCTTTCTTCCCTATCCAGTCTAGGCCCCATGGCTTATTATAAACTCCCTCCCCTCTTGTCCCGTCCTACCTGTGTAGCAAAGCCGCCAACCCTGGCTCTCTCCAGTCTTTGCAGGCCAGCTTAGGCTGCTTCAGACCTCTCCACAGCCATGCTGACAGATCCTGCCACTCCATAGCAGCCTCAGCAGAGCAGTACTGCTACCTACAAATCCTTGTATGTATCCTTCAACTTGCGGAGTTTTTCCACAACAGATGTTTTGCCTTTTCTCTCTTTCTCTTAGTCTACTAGTCGATACATATTACATGGTCAGTAGATGTTAATTGATTCTGAATCTTAGCATAAAGCAAACTTAAAGATAGTATGTTAAAATACGTGTGTTTCAATGGACATTCATAGTTTAGTAAAGGCTGCTGAAATCAATGAAATTCATACAAGCTTAGCTTATATACAGCACTACATAAACCCCAAACCGAAGAGTAAAATGATGAGGCCTCCAAAAAGTTTTCTATTCTACATATCCTATGTATGGATGCACACATAACTTTTGTTCTTAGACATACTGCCCTCTCTTCTGTTTTTCACAAAGCTATGACCTCTTCAGCATTTATTTTCAGAATTTGCTCACACAGTTTGCCTTGAAACCTTAATAGGAATAACAAAAAGGGAAGGCAGTGCGTTTCAGTCAGGGCTCTTGGGTGCAAGCAATGGGCTCTGGCAGTGTTTAGCAGGAAAGAAATCTATTAAAAGGAAGTTGAGAAGAACTCTACAATAATACAGAGGACAACCTAATTTTTTTGTTTTTAACCATTTAAGAGTAAGCTGCATGGATGCTATCCTTTTACCCTTAAATGCTTCAAGGTGTGTTTCTTAAAAGCAAGCACATTCTCTTACATATCCACAGTGCAGTTCTCAAAGTCAGGAAATTATCACTGATACAACATTGTTATCTATGGAGGTGATTCAGGTTTTGCCAATTGTTCCAATAATATCCTATTTAGCAGAAGGAAATTCGAGATCATGAATTTTACTCTGTTATATCCCTTTAGCCTCTTTCATATGGACTCATTTTGCTTTTTGTCTTTGTCTTTCAAGACCTTGACATTTTCTTTGATCTATATCAGCCAATTACTTTGTAGAATGTTCTTCAATTTGAGTTTGCGGGTTCAGGTAATACATTTTGACAAGAATACCGTAGAAATGATGCTCTGTTCTTTTCATTGGAATAGATCAGAATGCATATGAGGTTTGTCTCATTACTGGGCTTTAACTTTGATCATGTGGTTAAGATTGTGTCTGCTGGGTTTACCCCTGTAAAGTTACCATTTTTCCCTCTGTAATTAATCTGTTTATACGGAGATATCTTTAGACTACGTACATATTTCTGTAAAACTTTTACTCACTAATTTTGGTATCCATTATTATGATATTAGCTGCCAAACTCCATCATTTCTTCCACAGTTATTGTTGACTTTCTGGGGATTTTCTCTTCCCCTATTTATTTATATCACTATAGATTCATAGATTATTTATTCATTGGGTGATAATCTATTACTGTAATTATTGATGTTCACATTATCTCTGACTTGACCCCTTTAAGCTGGCTCTTTGTCCTTTTGTCATATCCTCTTTTGAATCCTTCTTTACTTTCTAGTACAAGATATTTCAGATTCATTTTGTACTGGACCTGCCCAAGACCTGGAATTGGCCATTTTTCCAAGGAAGCTAATTTATGTGGTTTATTTTATTTTATTTTATTTATTTAATTGACAGAGGGAAAGAGAGAGAGAGACAGCGAGAGAGAGAACACAAGGAGGGGGAGTGGGAGAGGGAGAAGCAGGCTTCCCGCCAAGCAGAGAGCCCAATGTGGGGCTCGATCCCAGGACCCTGGCATCAAGACCTGAGCCGAAGGCAGTCGCTTAACCAACTAAGCCACCCAGGCGCCCCTCTAATTTATGTTTTAAGTAGAGGAAGGAATCCTGTATCTTATGCTGACTTTCCAAAGTAAATGTTGACAGACAAAACATAGAAATTCCTTTAAAAATGTTACCCATTATTTAAGATTAATTCATTCTCTCATTCACGAAGTTTCCTTTCTGTGCTTCGGGCAAAAGGCTTCCCATATAAATGAAGCTTAACTCCAGTTCACATTTCAAAAACAAAGTCAAAGTAATTATTAGAGGCAACTACATGCTATACATGTTCTAAGATGAGCTAGAACCTGGGAATTGAAGAGAAATTTGAGAAAAGAGTAGAGTTTGAATAAGTAGAAGGAATCCAAGAACACGTTGGGTTCATGGGTACAGCATGAGCAAAGGTATGGTGCTGGGAATGGGCATGTCTTATCAGGGAATTTTGGGGAACCTAACTGGTTGGTGGAGATGATAATGTTGGTGATTAGTGGCTTGGTACCGTTTATTAGGAGCTTCAATTCCAGCCTGGCTCACTTAGAATATTTCCCACAGGCAGGGAAGAGTCCTTAAAGTGGGGGGCTAGGTATTCATAAAGAGTATGTTTTCAGAAGTTTAATGTGATGTTATATTGCAGAATGGTTTGGAAAACAGAAGACCACTTAGGAAGCTTAATTGAGTCTAAGGTAGTAGGAATACAAGTAGAAAGGAATTTGGAAAGTAATTTAGAGGGAAGAAATGCCCTCAATGTGATGAATCAGGGTCACTGAGAGAACGGGGAACTCTGAAAGAAATAGGAAACTATTTCTGATGATTTTTATAAGGGAAGGAAAAGAAATACATTGCAAAGAAGAACTCCAAAAGAAGTTCGGTGATACCAAAATTTTATTTTAACTTTTTTTTTTCTGTGATGCTTGATTAAAAGCCATAGAATGACTCCACAGCTTTTTCTCCAAAACAATATAGTTTAGTTTAACAGTGATGATCTAGGGCCATATACTATCATTAACTATTAGACACGGTAATGCTTGCTGAATCATAACACTTGTTAGAGATATTTGGTAATAGCTTTTTCATCATTTTAGATTTATGGGGAAATAGGAAGTTGTTTTGCTTTGATATGCTCTGTCCACCACATTACTAGTCTCAGATCAAATCTCGAAATTGAGATCCAGATTCCTGATTGATGTGAAATGTCTGGCTCTCGCTGGCGTTGGGGTTGAGAAATTTGTTTCCAAGTGTGGCATTTGATTCTTTCTGTGCTATTGAAGCTCACATTCCCATCCCTCTCTTTAAAGAAATACATTGTTTTCAACTTCAACTTTGTATAAAGAAGGAATCACTAGAAACTAAGAACTCAGCTTTCAAGATCTTAAAATCACCAGATACTGTGACAAAGACATATTTGCCATATGTTGGGAGATAAACTTTGGTGTGATCGTGTGGGAAGTGCCTAGGCCCAAACATTCCATGAGAAGTGAGAATGAGTGTTCCTGAACAGATATTTTACCATTTCATTAATTCTTACAATTCAACATATTTCCATCTCAACCAGACCATCATTCTCATTTGTGGATAGAGCAAGAGAAGTGACACAGGTTTGTTATCTCTCTAGCTACTATCTCTTCAGGCTTTCTGAATTGGCTTGAATCCTAGAGGTTCCATCTGAGAACTAAACCTCATTCAGTCCATAAGAGACTGAGGAGGTTTGTTCCTTTGTTTGTTACTAAGTTAACATATGGACTTCCTGATTAAAATCTGTTGGAAGAAATTATTATACGAAGTAATGTATTAGCCATATAATGTGTTGGGATAGTGCTGGGTGACTCATAATTTCTGCTGCTACAGTTTATAAAAAGGAAAAGAAAGTCGGTTCTTTTTGTTGGGAAAGAAGATTTCATGTTATCTGTATTTGCAGGCTTTCTGGCTCACATGCTGGAGGAATCCTTGCTGCGGGGGTGTTTTCATTTTCTCGTCTAACATGGCAGTGGTCCATTGCAGCAGAGGTTTTTAGCTTAAACAATCTGTTTGTGGGGCTGCTTATGGCTCTTACTGTACATTTTGAGGAGGCAGCAACTGCAAAAGAAAGATCAAAGGTAACCTATTTTGATCAAAGTGAAATCACTTTTTGTTTTAATTTTTAGACAGATGCTGTATTTCTTTTTAACTTTGGATGCTGTTTATCTGTCCTGATTACTGTTGAGGTAATTTAGGCGTGTTGAGAGAGAAAATATTCTGAGTTCTTTTACTGTGAACCATGATAGGCTTTATAAACCATGGAGCTTTTTTTTTTTCTCCCAGAGTTCAAAAGTTTTTTGGAGAATGAGAGGATTGAAATCCCCTCTGAGTCCTATGGGAAAGATGGGCTTGTTGGTTAATTCCACCATCGTGCATGTGTGTGTGTATGTGTATGTGTGTGTGAGTGTGATCGTTAGATGCCAAGCTCTAGATTGACCACCTTAAATTATATACCATTGTGGTACATTGACTTACTCTCTAATTGAAAAAAAGACCAAATTTGTACTTTTTTTTAAACTAAGAGTATCAAATGTATAAACGTAGTAGTTTGGAAGAGTTTCCAGTGAATTTATAAGGCAAACACTAATATCAAGATCATTTGAAATGTGAACCCTGTCTTCTAAGAGCTTACAGTCTACACATTGGGAAGTACCAAACCATTTTAGTAAAGGTAGCCTTTTGTTGTTAAAGAATATACAAACAGAAGAATACCATGGTTTATCAGTGGTGCCTATAAACAGATCTGTGCTGCTATTAGAGTTCATTTTTTGTCTAAAGTAAACTTTTTTCTGATTATGAAAATTGCACATGTTCAAAAGAGCAAAAACAGCACCCCTAACCTCGTTTTTAAATAAAAAGTGTTCTATTTTATGTATTTAATAGGAGAAAAAGTAAAATGGAAAGAATGCCTGAGTTTTAGTTACAGACTTTAATAAGAATTACACAATATCTTATTACTAGTAGGACTTACCTAGTTATCATGCAGGACTTTCTAAAACTTAGTTTGAAGGCAGTCATTTCAGGTCAGACTTCAGTGATGTGATGAGAATGGACAATATTATAAAAAAAAAAGTAATGGTGCCAAATATTAGTGTCTGTGGAAGCAAGCCTGTGTCTAAGAGGTTGACTTTAGCCTGACCTATGGTACAAATGCTTGGTTCTCATATAAAGAGTAACTTTTTACTATTGTGCTAACTTAAGAGTTTTTAGGTAAATTTTTAACTTAGGTTTTTTTCTTTTTTTTCAGATAGCTAAAATTGGTGCTTTCTGCTGTGGCCTTAGTTTATGTAATCAGCATACAATAGTACTCTATGTTTTGTGCATAATACCATGGATTCTCTTTCGACTTTTAAAAGAGAAGGTAGGTTTTTGGGTGTTTTTAATGAAAATTCATAATGTTTTAGTAAGGCCCGATATAACATTTATGGCATAAAACATGGGGCTTTCATTTTTTTTTCAGTTTTATATAAAGTGTAAATGACCCGAGGCTCTAACAACATTGAAAACAAAAATAGGATTTACAAAAATTATACAGTATTTTTTCTTTAAGATTTTATTTATTTATTTGACAGAGAGAGACACAGCGAGAGAGGGAACACAAGCAGGGGGAGTGGGAGAGGGAGAAGCAGGCTTCCCACCAAGCAGGGAGCCTGATGCAGGCCTTGATCCCAGGACCCTTGGGATCATGACCTGAGGCCAAAGGCAGACGCTCAACGACTGAGCCACCCAGGCGCCCCAAAAATTATACAGTATTGATTGCAGTGGCATCTGGTCTGATTCATAATTTTCTTACTGATTCTGAGCAGCACCTTGATAATAATAGGCTAAAAAGGAGTTAAAATGAAATAACAGATTTCCTTGATTGTTTTATTATATGCCCTAAAACAAAGGATAGTGTATTAATAATAGTTTATTCATTCATCCAGCTGTTTGTTGAGGGCCTGCGCTGTGCAGGTGCTGCTCTAGGTGCTAGAGATTCAGCTCTCCCGACAGAACAGACAGCATCACTGTGAACCAAGTAACATCTCTGGAAAATAACAACCTGTTTTCTCAGGACAGATGTCTCTAGAATTAAAAATTATTTATTTTAGTTTTCCCTTTCCCTCAAAGGAAAAACGATTATTGATTTAAATGGCGGTGTAAAGCAATGTAAGAAAATTACAATGCTGTGTAAGGCATTGTGAGATGGACTGAAGAAGGCAGGGAGCTGAGTTAGACATGAGGTTTTGGAAAGATCGAAGCCCTTTATTTTGTCAGCCCTCCTCCTAGAGGTTGAAACAATCTAAATACAAAGCCAGTACTAGAGTCATTTTACTGAATTTATTGTTTGTTTGTTAATTATACCTCAGCTACATTTATTTATTTATCATTTCATTATTTGTTGCTCTAGTCAGGATTATATTAGAAAATACATGTTCAGTAAAATTATTATACAGAAATAGGGAAATTATAACAAAACTTTAGGTAACTATTGTATTTACTGTACTTGAATATATTTTTTGTTTTTAGCTTCTGGCAACAAAGGAAAAAGTATAACGTGGAGATTATATTATGTGTTAAAAAAATGGAAATAACAATCAAAGGAAGATCAACTTTTTCTTGGAACTGAATTCTGCTAAGTCAGTCATGTCCAACCTTTTATGAGGAATATTAAACAGTGTAACAGGTCATGTCTAACAGTGGTTTTATAGAATATACAGAAGGTTCTTTATCTGGTCTTTTATTATATAAAATAATAAAATATTTTTTATTTTAAATAAAGGAGATAGAACATAAAAAACATAAATTCAGTGAAGACTTTTCTATAGATTACAAACCTGAAGAGGCCCAGATATTTTTCTTGTGAATTGATGGATGCATAGATGGGGATGCATTAACATCCTGCTATCAGTTACCTTAGCCAGGCATTTTTTTTTTTAATCCAGTCTTCATTTCTTTCTCTTTTTTTTCCAGCTTATTGAGATACAGTTGACATATAACATTGTGTAAGTTTAAGGTGTACAACATGATGATTTGATATATGGATATATTATAAAATGATTGCCACAATGAGGTTAGTTAACATATCTATCACCTCACGTAGTTACAGTTCTGTGTCTTGAAAACTTTTTAAGATCTACTTTCTTAGCATCTTTCAAATATAAGCTACAGTACATAGTCCCCATACTGTACATTACATTCCCCAGAACTTATTCATATTATAACTGGAAGTTTGCACACTTAGACCACCTTGACCCATTTCCCTCACTCCCTACTCCCTGCCTCTAGTGATCACCAGTCAACTCTCTGTTTCTGTGAGTTCAGTTTTTTTTAGACCCCACTATAGGTATATGTCTTTATCTGACTCATTTCATTTAGCGTTAATACCCTCAAGTTTTATCCATGTTGTTGCAAATGGCAGGATCTTTTTCTTTTTGTGGCCGAATAATACTCCATAGTACTTATGTATGTATATCTGTTTTCTATGTTATCTCTTAGGAGTTTTATGGTTTCAGGTCTTACAATCAAGTCTTTAATCCATTTTGAGTTAATTTTTATATATGGTGTAAGATAGTGGTCCATTTTCTTTCTTTTGCATGTGACTGTCCAGTTTTCCTAACACCATTTATTGGCCTTTTCCCCTTGAATAGTTTTGCCTCTTTGCCATAAATTAACTAACCATATATGCATGGGTTTATTCCTGGACTCTCTACTTTGTTCCATTGATTTATGTATCTGTTTTTATGCCAATACCATACTGTTTTGAATGCTATAGCTTTGTAGGATAGTTTGAAATCAGGGAGCATGATGCCTGCAGCTTTGTTGTTCTTTTTCAAAATAGCTTGGGCTATTTGGGATCTTTTGTGGTTTCATTCAAATGGATTGTTTGTCCTATCTCTAAAATGACAGTGGAATTTTGTTAGAGATTGCATTGAATCTATAGATTGCTTTAGCTGTTTTAACAATATTAATTCTTCCAGTCCATGAACATGGAATATCTTTCCATTTATTTATATCTTCTTCAATTTCTTTAATCAGCGTCTTATAGTTTTCAGTGTATAAGTCTTTCACCTCCTTGGTTAAATTTATTTGTAGGTATTTCATTCTTTTTGATGCACTTGTAAACAGAATTGGTTTAATTTCTCTCTGATAGTTCATTGTTAGTGTATAAAAAAGGCAGCAGATTTTTTTATATTGATTGTGTACCCTGCAACTTTACTGGATTCAGTTAAGAGTTCCAACAGTTTTTTGGTGGAGTCTTTAGGGTTTTCATTATATAAAATCATGTCACTTACAAATAGTGACAGTTTCACTTCTTCCTTTCCAGTTGTATGCTTGTTATATTTTTTCCTGCCTGATTGCTCTGGCTAAGAGCAGTGAGAGTGGGCATCCTGGTCATATTACTGAGAGGGAAAGCTTTTATCTTCTCACTGTCGAGTATGATGTTAGCTGTGGGCTTGTCATATATGGCCTTTCAGTGGCCATATACCTGCTTTGTTGAGAGTTTTTATCATGAAAGAATTTTGTAAATGCTTATTCTGTATCTATTGAGATGATCATATGATTTTTATCTTTCATTATGTTAATGTGGTATATCATGTTGATTGATTTGCAGATGTTGAACCATCCTTGCATCCCTGGAATAAACCCCTCTTGATCATGGTGTATAATCCATATAATGTAATTTCAAATTCAGTTTATTAATATTTTTTGAGGATTTTTGCATGTATGTTCATCAGGGATATCTGATATGGCCTATAATTTTTTTAATTTATTTGTTTGGTGTCCTTCTCTGGTTTTGATATCAGGGTAATGTTGGCTTCATAAAACATGTCTGGAAGCATTTCCTATTCTTCAGTTTTTGGGAAGAGTATAAGGAGGATGGATATTAAATCTTTAAATGTTTGGTAGGATTCACCAGTGAAGCTGTCTGGTCTAGGACTTTTGTTGGGAATTTTTAAGTTACTGATTCCATCTCCTTACTAGTAATCAATCTATTCAGATATTCTATTTCTTCATGATTCACTCTTGGAAGATTATATGTTTTTAGGAATTTATCCATTTCTTCTAAATTGTTCAATTTGTTGGTGTATAATTGTTTATAGTAGTCTGTTATGATCCTTTGGATTTCTTTGGTATCAATTGTAACTTCTCTTTAATTTCTGATTTTATTTATTTGTGCCCTCTTTTTTTCTTAGTTTAGCTAAAGATTTGTCAATTTTGTTAATCTTTTCAAAGAATCAGCTCATAGTTTCATTGGTCTTTTCTATTGTCTTTTCAGTTTCTACTTCATTTCTTTTCACTCTGATCTTCATTATTTCCTTTTTTCTACTAATTGGGGCTCCATCTGTTCATATTTTCCTAGTTCCTTTAGGTGTAACGTTAGATTGTTAATCTGAGATTTTTCTTCTTAACTATCTCTGTGAATTTTTCTCTTAGAACTGCTTTTGCTGCATCCAATAGATTTTGGTGTGTTGTATTTATTTCCTTTTTTTGGTGTGTTGTATTTCCATTTTCATTTGTCTCAAGGTATTTTTTAATTTATTTTTTGATGTCTTCATTGACCCATTGGTTGTTCAGTAGTATGTTGTTTTATCTTCACATATTTGTGATTCTTGCAGTTTTCCTCTTGTAATTGATTCCTAGTTTCATATTGTGTTCAGAAAAGATTCTTGATATGATTTTAGTCTTTAATTTACTGAGACATGTTTTGTGGCCTAACATATGATCTTTCCTGGAGAATGTTCCATGTGTACTTGAGAAGAAAGTGTATTCTGCTGTTTTGGGATGGAATATTCTATATATATCCATTTTTGCATCTAATATGTTGTTTAAGTTTGATGTTTCCTTATTATTTTCTGTCTGGCTGGGACAAAAAATCAATATCCATTGATATAAGTGAGGTATTAAAGTCCATTGTTCCATTGATATAAGTGAGGTATTAAAGTCCCCTAGTATTATTTTATTCCCATCATTTTCTCTCTTTAGGTCTGTTGGTGTTAGCTTTATGTATTTAGGTGTTTCTCCATTGGGTACATAAATATTGACAAATGTTATATCTTCTGCTGGATTGACCTCTTTATCATTATATAATGCCCATCTTTGTCTTTTACTATAGTCTTTGTTTTAAATCTGTTTTGTCTGATGTCAGTATAGTTACCCCTGCTTTCTTTTGGTTTCCATTTGCTTGAAACATCTTTTTCCATCCTTCATTTTCAGTCCATGTGTGTACTTATATATGAAGTGAGTCTCTTACTCACTCACTTACAGGCAGCAGATAGATGGGTCTTGTTTCTTTATCCATTCAGCCACTTTCTGCCTTTTGATTGGAGAATTTGGCCCATTTACATTTAAGGAAATTGATGGGTATGTACTTATTGC